GGCAACAGCGCGCACGGGCAGCAGCCAGGGGCAGCACGCAGACTGACTTGGCCAACAAAGAAAAGGGACTTCTAGAATGCTTTTTGAGCTGAATTTTCCCTAGATCCTTCTTCCCAACTTGGAGTGCAAGCCAAGTTATTTAGTTTATTTATTGCTTTATAATTTCTAGCTTAATTAGGATTTCTAATATTTTATTGCTTTAATAATTCCCTAGGTAGATTAGGACTAGATATATTTTGTGCCTATATAAAGGCCCCTTCCCTATGTTATTTTTCATCATCGAATTTATCAATAAAAATCCGAACTTTTGTTCAAACACTTTGTCTTAGATTTTTTCTAGATTTCTATTGCAATTTTATTCGTTTAGAGGGGTGCGGTTTGTGAACCTCTAGGAACCTATCGGCGATTCAAGGCACTGGTTTGTGGCTTATCGACAGTCGAAACACACGATCCTCATCATAGGCGTAGCAGACGACGCGTGTGAGGAGCGCGTGACAAGAAATAAACGACCGAAGGGCGGCGCGCGCGACAAGGGCGGTTAGGCTTAGGGTCGGCCGAACATGGAGTGCAAGCAAAGCAACTTGGAGATCAAGTCTATTAGCTTAATTAGGACTTTAGTATATTTAGTTTCCTTATTGCTTTAGAAGATGTTAGGATTTCTTTTAATTATAGATTTAAGAGATCTAGTTTGGTTAGGCTTAGATTTAATTTATGCACCTATAAATACCCATGTATCTCTTTATTATTGGAGGACGAAAATTGATGAGTGAATAGAAAGGGGAACATTGTATTCTTTCGTGTGTTTAAGCAAAGACATTAGTGCGTGTTTATCATACAAATTGTGTCGGAGAGAAGGCCCGGAGAGCGTCTTGAAGTCACACGTGTCTAAGAAAGGTCGTGAGTGCGTCTGTTAGTCACATCTATTGTGTTCAGTCGAAGGTCCTGAGTGCGCGATTACTCACAACAAATAGACAAGAACCGCGATCGTTCATCACCCCATTTCTGCGTGGCCCGACAGCGTCTCCATGGCCTATTTGCACAGCGCGTCGGCCCAGCGAAGTCCAGCGCGGCCCAGCGTGCTTCTACTCGAAAATTGAAATCCATATTTTTTATTTAAAACAATTTTAAAAGAGATAGAAATCCAAAATATTTTTCACCTTTCTTTATAGCTCACTTTTTCTCACTTTTAATTTGTCAGCACAATTTTAAAATAAAAATCAACCTAGGGGTGGAGCCATGTACTAGTCCCTCCCGGGTAGAATTTTATGGGAGCATGTATATATATAATATAATTAAATAAATATTAAAAAATCTTATAATGCTAGACTAATTAATTAAAATATATGGTATAATCACATCAAATAAAATTATCTAACAATTTTAAATTTAAATAACCAATTTCATAGATATCATTTTTTAGGGGTTTTATCTTGGCAAATTAAATATCTCCTTGAAATTTGAGAAATAATTGTTCGATAAGTTAAATTAGTCCCCAATAACTTTTTTTCCCTCTCTTTTTATTTTTTATTTTCGCGTTATCACAAGGAAGAGTCATTGACATTTTTAAGTCCAATCTTAAATTTAAACTAAAAAATAAATTTTAGTTCAAAAATGTATTAAAAAAAATTATTGCAAAAGCACTTAAAAATAATATTTTTCATCATAATTTTTCATTCCATATTCGTTATAATTTTAGCTCGGGTAAGTTTTAAATCCTGGCTTCGCCCCTGAATAAACCCCACATTTCTTTATAAAATATCTATTTGTTCATTTACATTTATCTAACAATCAATTATTATCTTATAACATAATTATGATATCTCCATTTTACATCACTCATATATTCAATTACCCAAATTCTATTTCATGTCACCACACCAAAAAATAAAAAATAAAAAAAATTATAAAATTGTTTGAAAGTAGATCTATTTGGCTTAATAGCCAACTTATTCCGTTGTCTAACTGCCTTATTGTGTGTAATTATGTGTTTTTTTATTTTATATTATAAGAGTCTATTGTTCAAAGAAAAGTGTAATCAAATTAGCCTCCAAAAAAATCTTCCAAGGCAACGAAAAAAAAAAAAAAAAA